ATGGCCCCGTCACAGCCCAAGCAGGGCTGCTCTCTGTCACCCGGCGCCAGGGGAGGAACCGTGTTACACTGCCTTGTGCTGCGTGCACGTGATGGGGTCTTTGTGGCTCCTGGACATGGGAACGTCTCCTTGTTCTGGAGCTATTTGATGGGCATATTCCCTGTGTCAGATATAGTTAAGGTTGTTCCTGTGTCCTCTGGCCCAGCGTTTCCTTGTTATCTGTCAGAACACTCCTGTGATGCCCGTGGAGCGTTTCTGAGTCTCGTGCTGAAGGCTGGTGCTGAACGCTGGCTGCATGCGCTCCCTCAGCAGCCCCTCGGGAGGACAGATGTCTCCTGTCCACACACGCAGGGCCAGTCCCGATCATGCTGACAGCAACCGTGTGCTCTTGTGGGGGGCACAGGGACCGAGGCCGTGGTTCACCTCTGAAGCCGTTTGTTGAGACCCTTCTGGTTGAAGAGAGTTGTCCCTGTGTCACGGTACCACAGTTTCCCTCGCTGGTGCAAAGGGAACTGGGAAGGGTGACGATGCTTCCCCAGGGCACAGCTAGAGCAGCTACCCGGGCAGCATCCCCCGGCTCACCGTGCAGCTGAAGCCCTGCTTCACCGCAGCACGTCTTCCAAGAACTGCTTTCTTGGCAGATCCCCAGCCCTGAAGCTTTTACTCCTGGCGCTGTTCTCCATCAGTCACAGTGACTGTTGCCCACCACGAGGCCATTCCTCATGGGATCTGCTAGTCTTTCCTGACCGAAGCTTGCCCATGAGCCCTTCGCTTTCACCCACGGCCGTTTGATGGACCCCATCTCTTCCCTAAAGTCCCCTCTGCTCCTTACTGCCATTGTGCTCAAGTCCACGCAGTGGTCGGCTCCCATACTTTGCGTATTACGATATCTGAGGCTTCTGGTAGTCCAGCTCACAGAGCCATAGGCCTGCATGAGAACTGCAGCTTTGATCGAAAACCAGATAGAAGTGTCTGTCCCTTGCAGTTTCAGGGAAAAAAATGGAAACGCATCCTCTATAGGTTTTGACACCAGAAAACAAACACAGGGGATTTACAGTCCTTTGGTTTTGAAGAAAATATAATGATCCATGACTGTGAAGGTCTCAGTGTTAGCAATACAAGACATATAAACCTGTCTTTCAGGATCATCCCTGTGAAACTTTCTCTGCTTCATAAGTAAAATCCATATGCACAGCTCATATTATTGCTCTGCGAAGTCTGGGATTTGTGTGCCCTTCCATGATGAAGTCCAGTGCTACTGCCAGCTGCCTAGACAAGGGCCACCTCGCGGCAGCTGACGGGCCTTGGTCAGGAGTTCCTTTTCTTTCATAGATTTTACAGCCTAGGCCATGGCAGAGTGCCCACCCCCTGCCCGTTGCCAGAACTCTCGCCGAAACCAGAGCATCACCTTTCTCTTTACAGCTTCTCCACCTCTCCCCGTCTATTTGCTTGCTTCAATCATTCTGATTTCTTATCTAGCCCCGTTCCTTCCCTTTCTCCTCCCTTCATCCTTTTCTTTCACTTCCCACTGCCTACACAGGTCCTTTCTTAGCAGCCGGGCCTGAGCTTCCCAAAGACACACAGGTACTTACGTGCGTGCACGCACACACGCGCTGACACAAATAAATAAATAAATAAAAGGTCAGCGAGCAGAGCAGCAATAACCCCTAAAACAGTACTATCAGAGGGACATGATTGATCAATTGAATTCCATAGCGGCTGAAAAATGTGGGATTAAGTAGTGTATTATACGCACAATGAGTTGAGGCATGATGTTCATTTCAAGTTCATTTCGCCAGCCCTCTGCCACCAGATCAGGCAATCAATAGGGGCAGCAGATATCATATATCACCTCTCTCCGTGCTAGGGAGAGAGCACCATAATCTCTCGCAAATTTAGAGTGACAGATTTGTCAAGATCTGAAGGGCCCCTGAATAAATGAAGGAAAAGAGACTCCTACAGCGACTTTGGAAAGCTGTGGTTTCAGCTGCTTCACACAAAGGCACGGCCTGTGCCACACGGGAGACACGCGTGCACAGGGCTCCGCAGGCAGACGGGAATTGCAAATGGGCGTGCACGTGTGCACTAATCTGTGCAGCCACCCAGGGCGGCTCACGATGGGTAAAACCTGATTTAATGACAACCAAAGGAAGTTTTACCAAATGCGGGAACACCCGTCTGCTGACACCAAGCGCCACGCACAGCACAGGGCTGCCATCCTCGGACATCAAATATAGCCTAAGCCAGCTGCCGCAGACAAACGGCTGCTCAAGCGTGCACGGTGATGCAGAATCTAAAGAATACCCGAATAATGATCTGCTGCAAAAATACCCACGTGTATTAGCATCATGGTGTGCACAGCCATGCACGCTGACTGACACGTGGAAGCATCCTCGCAGGCAAACAGCTTCACAGGCTGCAGACGGGCTGAGATAAGCGCTGATACAGAAACACACAGGGTCTTTTTCCGAGTTCTGTGGCAGCCTTCTGCATGGAGCACCAGAGAGAAATGCCTGCTGGAACTGGGAGCACGAGCCTCACGCTGCCCTAGTCCCCCCGAAAGCTGTCCCCTGCAGTGACAGCCCTGTCCATCTAAAACATGAAACCTGCACTGACACACACAGCGTGCCGTCCACTGAGCCTGGGCTTTGCTCTGTTTTATCTTAGTCAAACCTGTCATGAACTCCAGCTTTCAGGAACTTGAGAATTTTCCCTTGTGCGAATAAGCCTGAGGAGAGGAGAGGAGAAAATGCCGGGGATGGGTGCCAGTAAACAGCCCTGCTCTGTCTAGGGGTGGAGAAGAAAGAGAGAAGGGGCTGCTCGAGGGAAGGCTGCTGGCTGGGACAAATCAATACGTAATATTTTCTATGGTCTTGCGAGTGGTACTGTACTACGTTACTGTATATAATGTACTATTGATTATATCATATCGTATAATCACCTATAAACGGATATATCTCATAGCCAGAAGGCAGCAGGCTCAGTTATAACTCTGGGCCACCAGCCGGGCATTAACTGTGCCAGGAAAACACCCGTTGTAGCACCAGCCACAAGCCAAAAGCTGCAGCGGCGGAGTGGCACGGTTCCGCTGTGCACGGTGAATGCCACTCCAGGCTCCTGGGAGCATCGTCTGCCCACGAGCACCTCGCAGTCACACAGAGGAGGGAGAAGGTCTATACTGATCCCTCTCCTGACAGACAGCAAGTGTCTGAGATCCACAGAGTAGAGGCCACCAAGAAAGGCTGAAGCATGAGGAACAGTAGTGACAAAGCAGGAAGGTAATCGCAGCATGGGAGGGAGAACCTGCTCTTAGGTTAGACAGGGTGGTAAGAGAGTCAGAGCTGTGTCTGATGAAGGACGTTTGGTAGAGAGTCAGCATGGAGGGTAGGGAAGTCGATGAGCGTGGATGAGACAGGGGATTCCAGCCAGTCTCACCAAAGTTAGGCTGCGAGGTGACAGCAGAAAGATACTCCGCACAGTTGGAGAAGATTATAATGAGCAGACTTGCCTCAGATGAGATGAGGGATTATGACAAAGGACGATTCACTTCGGCTGGGACAGGAGGTTATAACAGACAGACTCACCTTGGATGTGACAGATGCTAATAGCAGGAGACTCACTCACTCCAGATACAAAGGGGTTATAACCGAGATAAATGCGCCTCGTTTGAGTTGGGGGATAACAGGGAAAAAAAAAACCCAGGTGGGTGATAAGATGGTTTATCACAGGGAAAGATTCTCTTTGGATGGGGCAGGGCGTTTATAACGGACTCACCTCGGTGGGGATGGGTGGGCTGTGAGAGATGGGATGGCACACCAGTGACAGACACTGGAAGGTGTGGGCTGTGAGGGGCACAGGATGGCACACCAGTGACACCGACACTGGAAGGGGGGGGCCGGGAGGGGGGCAGGATGGCACACCAGTGACACCGACACTGGAAGGTGTGGGCTGTGAGGGGCACAGGATGGCACACCAGTGATAGACACTGGAAGGTGTGGGCTGTGAGCACCGGGGACACCGACAGTGGAAGGTGTGGGCTGTGAGAGGCGGGATGGCACACCAGTGACAGACACTGGAAGGTGGCAGGAGGCCCTGCAGTGAGGCTGGGCTGTGTCAGAGGGCTGTGGCAGGGACAGAGGTGCACTTCTGGCGATGCTTCTACCAGAGAAAGCTTTTTTGCCAGGAAGAACAAAGGAACACCAGGAAGGCCGATTCCCACTGAGCAGGACTAGGTTTTGTAATACAAGAATTCGTTTTGGATAGGAAGGGGGACCAATAGAGGCAAAGATTCCTCCCATTTTGGAGGGAGTTTTACAACAGAGATAGGAGTTGTGATAAATGACGAGCTACATGTGGGAGAATGGGACAGAGATGGTAACAGAAACCCATGCCTGCTGGATGGGACAGGCGCTCCGTGGGGAGACATGGAGCCAGAAACAGGATCAGTCCTGCTACCTGGGGGGGACGAAAGGCTCAGCTGGGGCCTGACAGGACAAGGTCAGATGAGAAGGAAATGATAACAGAGATATAACTTCTGTCGGGACCGGGGAGCTGCAACAGAGAGTGCCTCCCTTCCAAGCTGTAAGAGACCCCGTTCTCCGCGCCAGGCTTCCTCAGCCCGCTCCAGCACAGGTCCGTCCTCAGCACTCGGGTTCCTCTGTCAGCTGCCTCTCCAGCAGCCTTCTAGCGATGCTAATCGCTGTGCTTTGCTCCCATTTTATGCTCAGCAATGGAGATCTGGCAATTTTTAACACTGCAAATCAGCAGAACCGAAGCTCATCTCTGAGCCGAGCACCATTCTGCACAGCCTCCCTTGCCCCGGGCAGCAGAGCCCCTCGGAGCCGGGGGGAGCAGCCAGCAGGAGGGGGCTTCCCTCAGCCCCGCTCCGGGGGTGCAGGCGGGGGGCCCCGCTCCTTCCCCCTCCGAACCTGCCCCGCACCCCGTGCTGACCCGAGCCAGGGCGGTGCTAACTCCCTGTTTTCTCTGTCTGTGCCCTGCAGATGTGTCCGAGGGCTCAGTTCCCAATGGAGATTCCCAGAGCAGCGTGGACAGTTTGCGGAAGCACCTTCGTGGCGACACTTTCACCCAGCAGCAGCTGGAAGCTTTAGATCGAGTTTTTGAGCGTCCTTCTTACCCTGACGTCTTTCAAACATCAGAGCACATCAAATCTGAGCAGGTGAGGGCCTGGCCTGGTAACGGGGACCCACAGGCGCCCGTAGGATGATGGCAAGGGAGAGTCCCTCTCCGAAATCACTCAGCCCCTCTTCACCCCTTGTTCTCACGCTGACCTGTTATTGCACATCCATCACGTTTACATTGTACAGCACTGTCCAGTGTGAGCACATCACTGTGCTGATCCAAGTGTGCTCTCCCTCCATCCGCGTGCCTGCCGTTCCCTCCGCACACACGCCTGCCGGCACGCGGACACGTTCTTGCCATGAACACGCAAGCACTGCCACGCGTGTTCACCGGCACGCAGCACTGCACGGAAACTCCGGCGCGCTCGGATCCCACCGCTGACCACAGAGCCACGGGGTTGGGTTTGACGGGCCATTTTCCTTCGTGGCCCAAAGCTGAGACTTGACTCCCATCTCCAACCTAGTTTTCCGCACTTCTGCAGCTCTGCCCCCCCTCTCCCTTACTCCCCGGCTCCCCCGGCCTTTTATCCCAAAAGCTGTTTGTCTTAATAAAATGAAAATCAAAAGTCTTTTTAAACCGCCCTAAGCCATAAACCAACAAAGGAAGAGAAGGAGAGGCTGGCTGTGGACTCCCTTCATCCCAGAGTCCCTGGGTTTATTACAATGAATAACCTTTATTTACTTTCATTAGACTATTAAGCACCAGCACAGTCATTTTTCCCCCTGAAACTCTGAGCAGGGCCCATAAAGCAAATCCGAAGCCTAATTGAGTTCATTTTAATTTCTCTCCGATCACAGCGAATTACTCTGGTGATAAATCAGGGGGCAGGTTCACCCCCAGTAGAAGGCCTAATTTGCAGCTAATTACAAAACTGATTTCTACAGGAAGATCAATACGAGAAGGAATTGGAAATGACTAGGCAGTGCTAGCCGGGCAGGGGCCGGGGCGGGGAGGGGGCAGCCTGCAGGGAGCCACTGGAGGAGGGCGGG